TGTCCTGAACAGGATCAACCTCATTATTAGTGAAGTCTCTCCAAGAGAAGGGAAGCTACTTCAGAACAGTGCTCACTGTGCTGTGAATCAAGAGCCCCCATCACCACCACCACCAGAACAGCGGTGACTGCAGCACGAGAGGGCAGGGAACAGGCAGCAGGAGTGCCATTTTCTCCTTACAGAGTCCAAATAAAAAGAGCACACAAAAGAGGGATTTGTTCATGCTGCTCAAAGCAGCATTAACTCTCCCTCTGTGTTCAATGACCCCTCCAGATAGGTCACAGTGCACAGATGCAGGCAAGCCTGCAGAGCCACCAGGAGCCATGCAAGAGACCAGAACGGAGACCACAGGGTGAATCTCTCTCCTCCCTTCCCTCCCTCCTTGAGATCTCACATTTCAGATGTCCCAGTCCACCCAAGCCCACTCATATTTGTGCCTCTCCCAGCCCTCTCCCCCTTTGAAAGGCTCAGTCTTCCCTTCTACAGCCTTTTCTTTACCCTGTTTGTATATAGAAGATCGTTGTACTATTGTTCATAAAGCAGTAGGAGATGAATGGTGTTATGTAACTGCTAGTTGCTGTTTTATCATTTTTTAGAATGATGGAAAAGTAAAATGGGAATGTAGACTCCCCTTGGGGCCAGGCTAAGCAAACTAAACTTACGTTACTGGTGACCCAAAAGAATATTCACTTCAGCATCCCCAAAATGGAAGAATGGAAGGGTAATGCATTTCAGTACATACTGTCCTGCACAAAATGACAAGCCATAAATAACTATGGCATATACGCATGTGTGGGGTAAGAAATCTTCATGATGTAGCTTGTAGTCAAAACAGTAAAAAAAAAGTGTTTTTTTACATTTGCAATTATTCGCTATTCATTAAGCTCTGATATGTTGTGGCTTTTGATATTCCAAAGAGGTTTTATTCAGCTTGCTTTTCATTCCAGGTCAGCTAACATAAAATCAATAATGGTTTGGACAGATTTCCTTCTAGTAACGAGCCTAGAATTGGCACACATAGCCTAAACTCTCTTCCTGTTTCACATCTACAGGAGCTGTCTCAGAGTGATTTGGTTCCCTCTTTCTCTCATATTCTTTTGCAGCAGAAATTTGCATTGGCACGTTACAAGGCTTCTGCACTGTTTGTATCCCAGGCACAGATACATGCTGCCTGCAAGCTTCTTGACACCAGAATCAATTACAGCAAAAGCAGGTTCTCACTGCTGGGAAGTGCAATTACACTTTCATCCAGGCCAGAGTTGCAATTCTTCATGCAGACAATCCTGGTACTCCGTTTGCAACTGATCATGTCAAGGGGACTGCTCTGATGAGTAGTGGCTGCAGGAATAGGTACTCTTGTCTGTAGTAAGAATCTGGTGGTCTGATTACAGTATCCTGCAGCACCACTTGTTTTCAGGCTCACAAACTGTACCACATACCTAAATATTTGCACCAAAGTCCAACGGGAACTGATGGCTCTAAGGTTTCAGCAGGGTATGTAGTTCATCTTTAAGTAACAATCTCAAAGATTAATGCATCTAAAATACCTGCTGAAACTTTACTTAAGCATGTGCTTAAAGCTGAGCCCATGCTAAGTGCTTTGCTGACTTGTGATCTACCCATGTTTCTGGTCCTATTACTCAGTGTCGGGCAGCAACCCCTCTCATTAGAAAGCAAATCCTTTACTGCCTTACATGCCAATAGAAATTATGCATCCTTGTAAAGAAGGTGTCAAAGCCGAGTTTGCCTGAACTGCATTTGACAACTGTTTAGAAAGCCAAGCCAAACAAACATTTTCAAGGATATTTTGAGAATAATTGGTTTGCTTTTTATTGGAACGTTCTGTTGTTCTATTATGCAAAAACGCAGCATGTTCAGACTAAGGGTTGAGGAATGATTTGACAAGCTCACATAGAACCCTGTGCAGCAATCAGGGTATTTGACTCTCATAGAGCTTCATCTTGATTGGGACGGATTCTACTTTCTACACTGGAATCAGAGCCGAGTTTTGCACGCTGGCTCCACTGGGAAGTTAAAGGCCCCCAGCACCTTGCAAGACCAAGTCCTGTGGTATCTCTGCCAACATGAAGTAGGGTTCAACAAGTGGTCGTGATAATCGAACAGTTCACTGCCACTGAAGGGTGAGGATTTCACTCCTCCCTGCTTCCTCACTTCCCTGCACCACTGACCTTCCCCATCCCTTCCTTGCACTGGCTCTGGCACTCACTTGCTTTCCAACTCACTGATTTGACAGAAAAATGTCTACTTTGTTGTTGTTGTTTGATACCACATTGGATTTTCTGCCAGATTAGTGAGCTCAAGCAGCTCCTGGAAGCAAAGGCAGGACTTGCACGTGCACGCACAAGGACAGAACCAGGTAAGCAACAAAAGGGCACACAATGGGAGGAAGAAAACTGAAAAGGAAGGAGGAAGACAAGGCCTTCCCTCTCCATCAGCAATGGGCTTTTAAGATCAGCTCTACCCGCTCCCCACAGCCCTGATCTGCTTTCACTTACATCAGTTTTACACCGGTGTTACTCCACTAATTGCAATAATTACTGTTATGTAATTCAGATCATTAATATCCAGAAGCCTTGGCCATAAGCAGGGTTCCAATGCTAAACATGGGACCACATATACACATCGCCCCTGCTCGGAGGAGCTGACAGTCTTAACTCAGCACAATGCATGATTGGAAGAGCAAACTATGGAAGATAAAAGTGATCAGGAAGGTGGGGGTATAATTAGAGGAAGACACAACCAAAATTGATTCTGAAAGACTCACCGCATTGTTTGGTACTTATACAGGTGAGTCGCATGGATTTAATCACTGAAAGTAAATCAAACTCTTTGCCTGAGCAAAAAGTTTCACTGTAACTCCATCAACGATCTAGATCTCAGCATGTGCAACAGGCAATTATACCACTTCTTTGTTTCATTTTATATTGTCTCAACCAAAAGGCTAATTCTGCACTCCACCTGGATGCAAAAGCTCTCACTAAAGCAAACAGGAGATCTGCCTGTGTCTGGAATGCAGCTGGACTAGGCACTTTGCCAGTTTTGTTGCAGACAGTTTCTCAGCATACTACATCATCATTCCCCATCTAAATAAACAAGCAAACCAACCAAGAAACCAGCATCTAAAATTAACATGAAAGATCCTGTTCTCTATTATCAGATTCAACCTCCTTCCCCCTCACCTCTGGGTTTTGGGCTGAGCTCTGTGTGACAGTTCTCTATACCAAACATGAAAAATGCTACTTGCTTGGCACTTACCATGCCTGTTTTACTGAATAGAAAAGAAAAACATCATGCATTTGGCCAGTATCATCAAATGGCACGGTAAGGGACAAGTAAGCAGAATTTGTGTCTGGACGAGAGAATGTCAAGGCACTGTTTTGCAAAGCTGATTTAAATTTATCACAGTACATATATCTGAGGTACTTGCATAAATTATAATCCTGATTTAGTATTTACTTAGTTGTATTAGAAAATTTGTTAGAAACAAACCTTGAGTCTTGACAATCAGGACTTCTCTTTCTGCTAGTCTTGCTGTGCCACTGTATGTGGCAAAGGCATTAAACATCCTTTAGCAATAAAACAGAAGTTTGAGGGGAAAACAGAGATGTCCTTTGCAACAAAAATGGTAACACAGCTCTTTGATTTAAAGAAGCAACTTTGTGTAAGTCTTCACTAGTAAGCTGTACAGTGCTGTGTTATCATGATGAAGATAACGTGTCATTCGTCTTTCAACATCATCTTAACTGTAAAATCCAAAGCACTGAAAAGGTTTTGTTTGGAAATAAAAGAAAACAAGGATATGTTTTGATGAAAGGTGATGCTTTCCGTCTGAGTCCAAGATCTAAGCCAGGCAATGGTTATTTAAGTAGCATGACATGCCATGTTAGACTCTTTTAAGTGCCATCCATTTCCAGTCTATGAAAGCTAAAAACAGTGAACTGTGTACACAAATTCTATGGATACATAAAGGTGACTGATACACATGCCAAAGTAATCTGGAGCGTACAATGAAAATGAAAATAGTTTTGCAGATATTGCACTCAGATTCTACTTTCTTGTTGCATCTATCCACTCCCTCATGCTTTTGATCTGTTGTGCACTTGGATCGAAACCAGTAGCAGCAGACAATAATTTTTTTTCTTTCGGTCTCGAAAACATAACAAAGGTATAAAACTGTAAAACTAAAAAAAAGGCTGCACATACATTTTTTTTGAGTGGGGACAGTAAGCACAGGACTGAATTATTTAGAAATTCTGAAACAGTAATTAATAAAATTATTTATAAAGAAGTATATCTACAATATTCAATAATTTAAGGCTTACAAGAAACTAACATATCAATGACAACAAAAGTTTTCTCCTATAGGGTTAAAAGCACCAAATTCACTTCACATACTAGATAACCAGATCTGTACTGATCACAAGTGGAAAACTCTGAAAGTGCTGATCTGCTAATGTTCCTAGTGCTTTGACGATGTCGTATTTCACAGGAAAAAGAAATCCCCTTTCAACCATAAATACAGTTACACAGATATAAAATATATTGGAATAATTTCAGTTTGAAACTACAGTACAAAAACCTCCCTCCCCCCCCCAATCCTTTCATTCTCCACACACACATCCCCCAACTCTTTAATACTAAACTTGGAGCAACTGAATTGGTTACAAATGACCCATTTAAGATGAACCACCATTTGCTAAAATAAGTTTGTACAAATGAGATTTTGCACTGTCATAATTTACCAGCTCCTGCATCATGGAGCGTAGCTTATTCTTAGTCTATTTTAAAAATAGGTGACCCTTTGTGTCATGGAAAAAGAACATAAAAACATGTATTCCTGGAGGACTACTTAGGACCGTGATCAATTTATAAAATATAGACTGATTTAAAAAACCAATTGGTACCAAAAGAATAATTATAGTAAGTTTCTGACACCAGCAAATCCTTCTGCATCTCTGAACTCTAACTCTCTCCTCTCCTTACAGGTCTGTTTCCCTGTTGGTGTCCAGACAGAGAGCATAGAGGGATTTTCTGAGATCTACATTACTTTTCGCTTTGATATTGGTTTTCTCTAAGGAGCTGGTACCATTATTGAACCCCTCACTGTTTTCCAAGTGCACAACAGATTTGTTCAGAGAGTTTCTACTGGATCTTCTCTTCACATCTCCCCCCGCTGTGCTGCCCTGAGCACTACTGTGTTCATCTTTGAGGACAGCTTGCTCTTCATGATCAGTCTCTCGGTGGTAGAAGTAATTGAAGTTGGATACAATAACAGGGACAGGCAGGGCGATGGTGAGCACACCTGCGATGGCACACAAGGAACCCACAATCTTGCCCCCCACGGTGACAGGTCGCATATCCCCATAGCCCACAGTGGTCATGGTTACCACTGCCCACCAGAAAGCATCAGGGATGCTGGAGAAATGAGACTCAGGGTCATCGGCCTCAGCAAAGTAGACAGCACTGGAGAAGAGGATCACCCCAATAAAGAGGAAGAAGATGAGCAGGCCCAGCTCCCTCATGCTGGCTTTCAAAGTCTGTCCCAAGATCTGCAGACCCTTGGAGTGCCTGGAGAGCTTGAAGATCCTGAAGACTCTGACCAGGCGAATGACCCTGAGGATGGCCAGGGACATGGCTTGCTGCTGGCCCCCGCCCCCATTGCTGCTGCCAGCCCCGGGCTGCTGCTGCTCGTGGGCCAGCTCGGTGCCCAGGGTGATGAAGTAGGGGATGATGTCCACAATGTCGATGATGTTCATGATGTTGCGGGAGAACTCAGGCTTGCTGGGGCAGGCAAAGAAGCGGACGAGGAGCTCAAATGTGAACCAGATCACGCAGGTGGTCTCAATGACGAAGAAGGGGTCTGAGAGGCTACTGGGTGGCTGCATGGGTGGTGAGTCCCCAGTCGTGCCATTCAAACCTCCACTTTGTGGGGGTAGGGGCACAGGCATCTCCCTCTCGTCCCTGAATTCTGGCAGGGTCTCCAGGCAGAAGGTGATGATGGAGATGAGGATGACCAGCACGGAGACGATGGCAATGGCCC